CGGTGTTGCATGTTCTGTCCTTTCCGAGTGCCGCCCAGATGGTGTCAATCTCTTCGAAGAAACGGTAGATGAGTCGGGCAAGGTTTCGGTTCTCTGTGTCGTAATTGCGCAAGGTTTCCGCGAAATCGTTCAGGACTTTTTCATTGGAAGCTTGGTTCATGAGGAACTCACCTTTAAGTTCCTTCATCTCTGTCATAAGACTACTTTGGAGAGTCTTAACGGTGTTTGTCAGATGAGCTTTCAAATTCATAATTTGAAGTTGAAGTGGGCGCTTGTCTGGCAACCATGCAGCGACATCTTCCATTGAGTTTGGCTTCGGTGCTTGTTCGGACATCGAAAAAATGAAGTGGTTTGAGAATGACGGTTTTACTTCAAAAAGCTGGTTATGACAGTTAAGTCATACAACAAGTTTAAAATAATATCTTGTTCTTCTTCTGAACGTTTGTTGTCTCTTCCGATAAAAGTTTCGAACATGAGAACCAAAAAACGTTTTTTGAGATTGCGGAAGAGTTCAGGCAAACGTTCATATTCTGGATATGTTGGGAGCAGTTCAAAACATCTGAGCTGACTTTCGGACAAAATTGGGACAATGTCAGAAAATTCATCTTTGGTCGGACTGCTTGAAGGTAAGTCCCTTACATGTAAGTAGCTCTGGTAAAGTCTTCTCATTTCTGCTAACTTTTGGAGTATAGCTTCGTAGTTTAGAAGTTTTAATTTTAATTGTCTTATTCCTCTCTTGACATCTAAACGGTAACTATCCATGAGGTCAAGAGTAGCTTTGGTAGCTTTAAGTGGAGCTATCTGTTCCTTGACTTCTGCAATTTTGGTTGCAATTGTGGTTTGAGCTCCTTCAAGTTCGCCGTCTATGTCGTTCTCAACGCCTTCAACCGTGGCTTGAAACTCTTCATCGGTCCATTGAGATTGGTGTGGGACGAATTTAACTTGCTTCATTCAAAAAAGAAAAAAATGTTTTTACTCTAAACATGCCATGTATATGGCTATAAGTGCTTTGTTATATGACTTCTTCTTCACATGAGTCTTTGGCAACGTGAGAGTTCTTGTTGGAGTTGGGTCTGGAATTTCAATTCTCTCTCGAGCGCAACAACAGATGTCAGAATAACATTCCCCACTGTCTTTCTTGCCCCCATAAACTGTGTATTGACCAAACTTGCATTTACAGGAAGACCGGTCAATACAAGGTTCACAGTTGAAATAGTTGTACTCATATCTGGTGAGTACGAGTGTGAGTAAAAACATAAAAAAGTGAGTTAAAATGAGATGTTTACTGAACTGGCTGAATGTCGCCTTCACAGGTTATGTAGAACGGCTGACCAGAGTAGTGGAGAAGAGACTGAATTGCCAATTTCATATGGGGTAGGGGGTTCTCCTTGTTTGGTATTTTTATCCAAGGACGTTTGTTTAGGAACTTAACAAGAGCTTCTCTTTTGGCGTCCTTTATGCCATCGTAGGCTGTCCCGTCTGGTATTTGAATTGGAATTCCAGTCGAAGTCTCGAGCTGAAGTGTAGACCTTCCAGAAATAGTGGTGAACTTGACCTTGGGCTTCATTACCTTGCGCAAGTAGTCTTTTACGCAGTCGTTAAGTTCAATGAGGTAAATTGCCTCGTCAAGTCTTTCTTGCATTCCAAGTTCTTCCATCCGACAGGAAAATATTTTCCCGACAAAGGGAAAAATTTTTCCCGACGACAGGAAGAACTCTTCCAGTTGTCCGTCCGTAAACCATTCAAATTTTCGAAAATTGAGAACTTTTTGGTCGAACTTCAGAAAAAGTTTTTCCTTCCGACAGAAAAAGTTCTTCCTTCCGACAGAAAAAGTTCTTCCATCCGACAGGAAAAATTTTTCCTTCCGACAGGACACAAACGGATGACTGATGTTCCTCTTCCTGAATGCCTTCCAAAGCCAGAAGAACCGAAAGCTGCAGAACTCCAGCAGCAACCACAGCAACCTCAGTTCCAACAAGGACCTCCGAATTACTACCAATTTCCACCTCAAGGTTACTACCCACCACAAGGCTTCCCGAACTACCCTCCTCAACCTATGCCTTACTTCCCCAACCCATGGATGTTCCAGCAAGTTCCACCCCGGCAATTCCAATCCCAATCTCAGTCCAAGAGAGACCAATACTTCGAAGAAGGTCTGAACCGTTTACGCAAAGAGTATGCCACAGCCCCTATGGAAGATGACAGGCTTTCAGTCTCTTCCCTAAGGTCGACCGATTCGACTCGTACCACAGATTCGGTTCGTGACCGTGAAGACTACCTCAAGCAGTCTGAGAGACTCTTCATCCTACAACCATTTACAGTTGGAGCACTCAAGAACATGCGCAATTACGAAGGTCAAACACCAGCTGGAGACCGCAAAACAGACGTACTCGCAAGAGCCGTCCAGCTCGTCAAAACAAAGACGGAGATAGTCGACTTCATACTTGCAGCTTGCCCTTACAAGTAAAAAAATAAACAATTACGAATTAAACTTTTTACTCTTTCTTTTCTGAGTTGTTTAGAGCTGGTTTCTCTTGTAGAAACCTTTCGTACTCTTCCGTGGTCATGTAATTGCGAATTTGGTACGCAATTCCAGGTTCGTTGTTTTTGAACCTTACGTATGTAACGCTTCCATCCTCCTCAGGGAAGTAAGCTGCTAACATCTGACCAAGTTTTCTCGGTGACTCGGAGCTCATAAAAATGTCACTTTTTTAAACGTTAAGTTTTTAGTCTTAATTTACCCTTTGTTTGTCAAGGTAGTATTGGAGTGCAATTTCTCCAAATTCTCTGTGTCAGAGTTCTTCAGCATTTTCCAAGGTGTACCGGGAGAACTCAAAGAAGTTGTCAAGAACATACTGCCATGCCGCTCTTCTGAGTTCGTCGGTATTTTGGAAGTGTTGCACCTTCGAGTCTTCGGACATAAAAAAATGATACTTTTTCTATTAAACCGTTTTGGCATTTCTCATGAGTGAGTATAGTTCTGCCGAACCATTGGAAGAGAAGAAGTACTCTTGCTGGCAAAAGACAAAAATAGTTGCCTTAGTTGTCATTGCAATTGTACTCGTAATTGAATTCATTGTACTTCTCTTCACGTACATAAAACTCAGCAATGGTATTTGCTTTAAGAAGTTACCATCTTACTAAGACTAAACATTTAATTTTCAAGCTTGACTTTTTACAATTTGAACTTTGTTCGCGTAGATATGAATTCTGAAAGAAGTATGAGGGTCTTGTATGACTTTATACTTCTCCCAGAGTTCATGTCTGTCAAACTTACCTGCCATGGACTCTTTCATAAGTTCCATGAAATCGTCTTCGGATAATCCGGGGAAAAGTATAATGTCAGTAAGTATTCTTTTAACATCCTTACTTAAACTCTTTGCTGTCTGTACACAAATGACAACTGAAATGCTAAAGTGTCTGAGCTTCTTAAGAATTCGACACATGTCTTGTTCTCTATTCTTTAACAAAGGATGAGAAGCAAAGTCATCTAAGATAAGAAGACACCTATGAGGGTACGTTTTCCAATCGTACGATTGCAATTTCTTCGAAATGTATTCTATCTCTTTCTGTTTGTTTCTGAAGTGTTTCTTCTCTAATATTCTCTGCATTTCCTCATTTGGGTCTTTAAACTTCGAATTTATATACTCATTTATAGCATTATACTTCAAAACTCTTCTTTGGTACTTCTTTATCCAATCTAACAACTCAGTATCCTTTATACATACTAACTTAGACTTCTTTATAATATCTTTGAACGAATTGACGGTTTGGTCAAATTGACCAGAAGTCGAACAAATAACAACCAACTCATAGAATGGGTTCTTCTCATCTAGTTCTTGTTGTTGTGCAGCCATTTTAAGATAAGTGAAAGTCTTACCCGACCCAGGTGGTGCAATTAGACCTGTTATACCATTCTGAGCAAATAAGAACTTGTCATGTATAGGTTTTATCTGAGCATTTTCTAACTTCCTCTTGTTCTTGTTTAAAACATTCTCAAATTTTTTGTCAATGTCAGCAAACTTTTTTTTCTAACATATTTTTAGAAAAATTAAAATTTTTATCTTTTAGAAAATGTCTAGCGATTTCGCTATCTATATTCGAGACAAGCTTTTCGACAGCAAAACATCTGTAGACCATAAAACCTTACATAGTGTAAACAAGAAAGGTGAATTTGTTCTAAAGTTCTGTTTCTGGGAATATGACAAGAACCATAAAACATTACAAAGAGCAGTCTTAAAATTTGTCAATGACAGACTTGTTGACAGAGATGACGCCGATTGGAAAGATGAAGTCCAACAAAAGTTCTTAGAATGCAAAGAAGACACATGCGCTGTTCTTGAAGATGAAATAGAAAACAGAATAGATGAGCTATTAAAGGACAAAGAACTTTTACATAAATATGGTTGCGCCAAATTTGACATAACTCCACCAGAAAAGAAGAAGAGAGAAAAGAAAGAAAAGAAAGTAGAAGAAGAGAAGAAAGAACCCGAACCAGTTCCACCGAAGAAGAAATTTGACATGTAAAAATAAAATTTTATTTTTAGAACATTTCTGGGTCAATGTCAATGTTCTCTTCCTCTTTAGGAGCAAACACCGGCTTAGACTCTAAAATCTTTTTACCCAATTTACCTTGAACTTCTACAACTTTAGACTCATAATATTCATAGTCGTCTGTCTTCTTTGGTTCATAAGGTATAACAAGTTTGTATGCTTTGCCTTCTTTAAGGTTTGAGAACCTTCTGTCAAAACTTTCTTTGACTGTTAACAAACCTTCTATGTCTAAGTCTTCAAATTTCGCACCATTTTTAGTCACAATAGCAAACTTAACTGGTTCGATGTTCCAAACTTTGCTGAATGAAGACTTTTCAAAATGGTAGAAGTAAACATTCAAATATGTGAATGGGTCTAGTTCTTCTTTAAGTCTTGACATGTACTTGTTTACTGAAATATATTTCGTCATCTTTTCTATCGGATAAAAAAATATTTTTTTAAAAAATTTACTCAGAAAAAATTTTCTTTGTATATACACCATTCTGTACGTCTAAAAGAGTTTTGACATTTGCCAAGAATGTTCGTTTAGACGCTGGCATATAACCATACTCTTGACAATATTGTTTATATTCATCATATAATGACCTTTCATCTAATGACACAAAGTCAGTTTCATCTACGAACAGTTCATAAACACTCTTGTTTGCTTCTAACAATGTTTGTCTCTCTTCGGTATGTGGAATTTGTCTTGGATTGAAGTTAGAAATATCTAATGTCATAAAGTATGAGAACAAATGGTTGTAAAACTCTGGTGTCAAAGTTTCTGCTAAGTCGTCAAAATATTCTGTATCTTGCATATGAGAATCTGACGTTCTGACAACTACATATCTTCTGTCAGAACTTTCTAACTTCATCGGAACAGCATTGTTTGAAACCATAATGAAGTTTGCAACATTCTCATAAACTCTTGAGTCTTTATACTTTCTTTCAACAACTCCAACTTTATCTGTTATAAGACTCTTCAAAGCATCTGAGTTCAAAACTTTTGTTGTATCTATACTTTGAAGTTCATTGCAAACTATAAGTTTCATATTCTCAATTGAAGAGTTAAATTTACCGCAGATGTTTTCTAAGTTTGTCATATTAGGGTTCGAATAACCTTCTAACAGTTTGCATAAGATATCTGTAAAGAATGTGTTCTTACCTGTTCCTTGTTTTCCAATTATAATGAGAGCAGTTTCATTCTTAGCACTTGGATGTTGTAAGATGTTTGCAAACCAACATAAGATATACTCATAAACCTTTTCGTTTCCATTGCATATAATTTCTTTGACATGGTCTAACCAAGCTTCTATAATATTTTCTTTCCATTCTACTTGTTCATATTTATATCCAGTGAAGATAGAATAGAAGTTTGGAGAAGGTGTATAAAACTTTATACAGTTAGTATCCCTAAGTCGTGTACTGTGGCACTGCGCGCCTCCGTACACCACTTAGCGGTTTTGACACTTTACGAAACCGGTAACGTATATTTTACAACACAACCATAACACCAACTTAACCTTAAATATTTACAAAACCATCTGACATATAAACGACTTCACTAATGACTTCACTAATGAATTCACTACCGTCCTCACTAAATAAAAATAACCTTATTTTAATTTTTTTAATTTTTTTATTTCATTACAAAGACATGTCCGACTACATTTACTATGACTCTTTCCCAGAACGTTTCCGTGAACTATTCAAAACTCAAGTAAAACTGAGAAACATGCATTTTAACAAAGATAGACCCATTGACGATGAAAGAAACCCGAATATATTACAATCCATATGACGCAAAGTTCATTGCATACATTCCTTATGGTCGCAGAGGAACGAAAACTATTTCAACAAAGAACAAAAATTATTTCTGGAGCGATGAAGAAAATTGCCTTATCTACATAAATGCATACTTAAATAAAGCTACATATTGTACAAAAGAAGGTTGGACTGGATTTGAGCTCTACATATACGACGACGATGGAAACAGACGCTGTGTATACCCATACGATAATATGTACCATTGTTTTCATCAAGCATTAAACGAATACATAGTCAGTAAGGGTCTCATTCCTGTTGAGTAGATATGCTTTATTTTTGTTCTGTCATTTACATAAAAATAAACGTTCTCGCTAAATAATAAAATAAAGTTAAAAATAAACGTTGTCAGAGGTGAAAAAATAAATTTAGGTGAAGTGGTGAAATCTCACCTCTTTTTTCACACGGTTTTTCACCCTGTTGAATTCATTGCTTTATAACTCTCTTCCTTGATTTCTTTTTAGTTGCTTTCTTTACGTCCGTCTCCAACTTGACTGTCTTTCTTCTTCGTCCATAATGATACCAGTTACTTCTACCAGTCAATGGGTCAAATGGTCGTTCATAAGGGTTTCCATACATTCCATAGGGACCATACGGAAGAACTGCTGGTGGAAGTTGTGGAGGAAGAGTTCCATCGAATCTATTTAAATGCATTGTTTCACCTTTCATCTGGTCATTAAAGTCTTTTGCATGTTTTGCAAACTCATCGTCCTTTCCTAAAGCATTTTCTGACTCAGTCGCAACCAAATTGGATGCTTTATTTATGAGCCCTATTTTATTTAATCTTAACTTCTTTGCAACCCAGCCTCCAATCTTTCTTTATTTGCATCTAATGTCTTCGAAACCCTTCTCCACTCATTTTATTTACTGCGTCATAAGCTCCAAGTGCTTTTGCTCCAAATGCTAATGCTTTTGTTCCCATTGCGCCTAAAGCTGCCCAAGCTACCATTTACACCATATTAAAATCATCTCTCTTCAATATTATCTCATAAAAGTTCTCGTTACTGGAGAAAGTCAATGAACATAAAACATTCTCACGGGCTTCGCCCTCACCGCTTTGCGGTCTATCTAACTTATTTCTTATATCATCTATACGCTTCAAAATGTCTGAACAATTGCTAACATCTTCTCTACAACAGTTATTTCATCATGAATGACTTTCAAGAACAAGCTCATTTAATATGCTATTAAAATCATTTCAATAATGAGTCCATCCTTTCCATCTTTAGGTAGCACAACATCTTTCATTGAAGAAGGTTCAACAAGTCTTATGTTAAACTTACTGACAAAGTTTGTTATACTATAATGCTTCGGTGGCGAATACATGTAGTTTGAAAGACATAATATAGATTCTTCAGCAAATTCACTTATACTGGATTTTATAACAATGTTCTCACGAGACCAAATGCCACCAATTGACAATCTTGTAAGCAATCCTGCTGAACCTTCAACTGTAAACGTCGATGGTAACATTCCACGAAGGTCATCTATTGACATCTTTGAGTCACTGTATTTAAATATTTTCTTAAAGCAATCGTCATTATCTAACCATGCAATAGCTTTGAAGTTTTCATTCGAATATACATCTGCTTCATTAAATGTAAATCCTGACTTCTTTGCAGAGACGACTTTAAAATCTATTGCATTTGTTTCAAAATTATATGCTATGGTAACTTCAGAAGGTAATGGATGCCCTTCCGCAGTCAGTTGTTCTTTCAATACCGGTTGAAGCTTTGTGTTAAAAACTTTCATGTCATCTCCTGTGTCTAAGTTCACATACACAGCAACAGGAAAACTATCTTGCCTCTTTGTTTCATCATTATATCTCAAAACATTAAAGTTCTTCAACAATATTGTTCTTCCTGCTGGAATACTTCGAACCTGTCTGATTTCAATAGCTTTCTCACCTCCTACATACTCTACCCAGTGTCTTGGATATTCATAAGTATACTGACTTTCTTGAATTTTGGTTGGTTTCATCATAACATGTTCATAGTATATCTTTATACTCTTGTCAGTTAGACTCGGTGCTATGTTCTGAATATTTCTGACTTGCATTTTTAATGGAGATAAAATGAAGCATTTAATACATGATGTAGATGAAGACATGAATGAAACTACAGACAAACTTAACTCTTCTCTTATTCTTCCTTTCAGTAAGGACTATGAATTCTGTTCAAATGGTGTGTATTTCTATTGTGGAAAGATGGGTTCAGGTAAGACATTTAACCTCATTCGTCATATACTCATAACAGAGCGTTTAGGAAACGACTCTTACTATGACCAAATCATTATATCAGCAACTTCAGACTCTATGGATTCAACAGCGAAAACATTTATGTCAAAAGTTCAAGCCTCTGTCGTTAAAGTTCCAGACAGTGAACTCATTGAATTTCTTCAACGTTATATTCGACGTAAGAGAAAATATTATGCCATCGTAGAGTTCATACAGTCAGGAATGCAAAAGACCTCTGAGGAGATGGAAAGAATTATTGACAAACACCACTTACGTCAGTACTCAGGAGTTTACGATATGAAACGACTTACAAACTACATTCTGTCAAAACTTTCAAAATACCCCTTCAAAAAGTATCCTTCAAACACTCTGCTCGTTTGTGACGACTTCACCGGAAAAGGTTTAGTGTCAAAACCAGACTCACCATTAGCTAACATCATTACTAAAGTTAGGCATTACCATTTAACTGTAGCAATACTTATGCAAACATGGCGTTTTCTTGCTTTAAACATAAAACGTCTCATAACTGACTTCGTTATCTTTCAAGGTTTCTCACGCTATGATATTGAACTCATTTGGAAACAGTCAGGTATAACATTACCTTTTGAAGAAATTTGGGAAGCATATAAGTCTCTCATCTCTCCTCGTTCATACCTTGAGATTCATATCATGACTAATACCATTAAAGTCAAAAATATTCCATGGGAACGACCAACATTGTTTTAAATCTTATGCTTTAATTGACTGATGGTAAACAAATTCCATGCATCTCTGTCGCCATTTCTGTTAATATTTTTGCTGTCATTCATATCATCCACTTCCCCATCCGTTAGCTTTTGAGGATATGCGTTAGAATAGCTGTTCTTAAATGAAGGCTTTTCACCTTTGAGAGCATAAACTCTATAACTTTCTGCATACTTTATGTTTGAACCTCCTGAGCCATCATTGACATAAATTTTTATAGGTTTCCACCCTTTGTTCATGTTTCTGCTTCTTCCCTTAGCTCTTTTGTTCAGTAGTTCTACATCTTTATACACAGCACCTGTCTCAGTGAATTCAACAATATTTTCATTCGTTAGCTTTACATTCAAACCCTTGTCGAGTATATTGTTCATTTCATACATATAAAAGGTTTTTATTCTATATGAAATGAGAAGTAAGTCCATCTTAGCTGGTGCTGTTAATGTTCCAATTGAACCAACATCAAATGTTGACTCACGAACGACAAACAATATTGTCATAAAGAACTATAGTTCGGAGTGTTTGAAAGAAAAAGAACCAGATCTTAAGTCGGGACCTTCGGTCTTGGCGCATGACGCCGTGAATTTAAACACAGCTTCAAACGCTAATGCTACATCAGATGTTAAGTTAGAGTATCCACTACTGGACCAAGTTCTTTCAAGAGAAGCCAACGACAATCCTTACACAAATGTTCAAACAAATCCTTCAGATAACGTAGACCATTACCTTCTTCAGTTATATCAAACAATTTTACTCAAAGACGATAAGAAGCTTTTGACAAATCTTATAAGTAAGAACCAAATAATTCTAACAAAGGAGGACCTTGAAAATATTATATCACGAATAACAGGGAAACAATGTGTCATTGACTATCTCGACCCTGAAATCGAATGCTGTGGTCAAACTCCACTATTCATGAAAATAGGTAACATCCGCATCATTGAAATACCAGGTACTCCAGGAGTTGAGTTTAAGTATAGATATTCGAACGAGTATACAAAACTATCTACTTACTATAAATTATGTCTTAAATATGTTTTAGTAAATTAAAACAGTCAGTCAGTCGTCATTGACTGACCTAAGTTAGTCATAAAAAATTTTCAAGTTAGCAATTTGTAATATCTATCCAAAACTTCTTCAACAGTATCGAACTCATCTTCATAATGTAGACCTAATCTTATTGACTTGGTGCAGTTTTCACTAACACAATATTTTTCTGTTCTCTTGACTGACATAACTAATTCATTTGTT